ACACACACACACACACACACACACACACTGCTTAGCTACCCCAGAGGTAATAAGTGTGGATTCACAGGCCAGAACACTTGGGATGGAGGGGGCTGGGTCACTTAGCAACGAGCCTGTTGACGTCCAAACACTGTTCATGTCGTCAAAGTGGCTGCTTGTGCCAGACTGGGGTTCTGCTGAGTGCAACAATGTTACTGGTGTGTTCCTGCAGAGGAACAGCCCACAGACAGGCAGCTGGACTGAATGACACACAAACTAATTCAAATTGCTAACAGCGCTAATTCATGTGAATGCTGTTCACACCGCTGTATTTGACATTTTACGGTCCATATAGGAGACATGCAGTGCTCGATGGGGAGTGGGCAGTCTGTGAAAGAGGAAAATGTAGTGAGACTGAGCAGGGAAGTGCACATTTGACTTATTCTGCAAAGGTTTAAATGATATATGAAAGCTAATTAGTGGATTAAGGATGATTTTGGAGATGTTCATTATTTTGTGAACCTTTACCCTGAATTATAGTTTGCATTTATTTAAATATAACTTTTCCCAAATTATGTTTGGTTGGCTTTGACGTTTCTATTTGATGTATTTTTCAAGGATGAATTTATCATCTGCATTATAAAATGTTTGTCTGCATCTGTTTAGAGAAACAAATAAAACGCACAGGCAACCTTTGAGTGTTGGCAAGGTTGCCCAGCTCAGCTCCATCATTTTAATATCTCAGAAACAGAGGGTGAGTCTAGACTGTTCACTGAAAATATGATTCACGCTTTTTCTTACAGGGGTATTTGCATACACCATGAAATTACCTTTTATCATCGTGAGAAATCCACGGTGCATTGATAGAGCATATCACTCACATAATTCAGGCCCTGACATATAAGGAGTAGCAGAAATTATTTGTAGTGTAATTAATACCCACTGCTTTCTAGTTTAGTGCTGATTATTTTTAATGCATCTACATTTTAGGCATCAGGTTTCAGCTGCCATCTGTGTTGGGAAACATCTCCTAGGGAATCACTAGCAACAGGAGAGAGTGAAAATGCATTTAAATATAGCAGAAGTTGATAATAAGCCAATCACTGACAAGGCAGCCATGGGAAAGGTAACTTCAGGACACCGCTCATTCACACTCCTGTGGCAAGTGTTTAGGTTTAGTACTGTGTGTGTCTGTGTGTGTGTGTGTGTGTGTGTGTGTGTGTGTGTGTGTGTGTGTGTGTGTGTGTGTGTGTGTGTGTGTGTGTGTGTGTGTGTGTGTTGTTTAACAGCCTTCGTCTGTGACCTTCAGAGGGAACTGCAGGACGCTGTTAGTGTGGGCACCAGATGCATTGGACCAACAGCAGGAGTCCAGTCCACATCCCTGGATCGTGCAGATGTTTCTATTTTAGGCCATTTTCAAGAAATAATCTCTATAATGGGCTATGCTTATAGCCCGAGTGTTGCCTCTGACTACACCCTCAAGAGTTTTGACTTTGTCAGATTCAATATGTCTTGTGTGAAGCTGCTAAGCATCAGTGTGGTGCTGCATAATGCATCACATCATGTTAATGGCAGAATTAATGGGTTACATGGGAGGAAAGCAGCAGGATCACCAGCAGGTTGAGTTAGATGTAGGGCACCAAAAACTTACCGTATGATTCTGACTTTTGATCAAAGGTCCAGCTTCAAGTTTGGACCTTTGGTTTGGACATGTAGTACAAAGTACAAGTAAATACTTTAGAATTGTTCTATTTACAATCCAAAATAAGTATTTTGAAATAGGGGTGGGTTATAACTGGCCCCACAATACAATATCATTAAGTGACAAAACAATATTATTGCGTTAAGAAACCTTTTGTGGCATATATGCTGAGTTTTATGATAATAAATATTGTGATATATAACCTTTTTTGAAACACAAATTATGTTTCTTGTCATTATTTATGTTCTTTTTTGGCCTGTATGCCAATGTCAACACATTTCAAGGATGGAGTAGGTATAATACTAATCAGATTTGTCCACTATGGAAGTGCTTCCTCAGTGACATTCACTTGAAACATCCGGTGTGTATGCCCTCTTTTTTTTTCTTCTTCTGGCAGCAATGATGCCTGCAGCACACTGACTAGCAGAATACATACATCCACACTTTTTTTGATTGAAGAAGAAATGCAAAGAAAAATGACTCCAAGCTCGAGAGGACGCAGTTGATTATATAAACATTGCCAGTCTTGTGTTATCAGACATACATTATTGTCGAAGGTTCAATAAAATAAAAGGGGTCTTAAGGCCTTAAGTTGGAGAATGTTCTTATGTATTATATTCCTTTTAAAGGTCAGCTATTGTGCAAAATCCACTTTTTCATGTCTTTTATACATAAACATGTGTCCCCTCTGTGTAAAGACATTCTGAAAGTTTCAGGAAAAAAGGTTGGCTCACTTTTTGTCCTGACCCATTTATATAAAAACTTGTCTGAAAATGAGCTGATCCGATTTTGGCCACTTTATGATGTCATAACGATTTGTTGGCTGTTGGCTTGTGTAACTATTAGCCAATTACCAACCAAGGTAACACCCCCCCACCTGATCACCTGAATCTCCTCCTAGAGCACCATTGTGTTCGTTTGAACCAAATATCTCTCAGAGGGGCGTGGGGAGTGGCTCCTTATTTTCATCTAAAGTAACAGACAGAGAATCAGCACTTTTGGAACAGGACTGAAACAGAGGGGATTATGGGATGCTTTAATGATCTGTTTGGTATTTGGAGCCAAACACTTCAGAGACATGTTTTGTATATATCTGAGACCTATAATATAATGAGGAAAAACACTGTCTGCAGAGGCTAGAATCCCAACCCTCTCGCCCACACATCCCCCCCCCTGACTGAAATGCTTTGATGGAATCCTTTGTTTTCTTCTGTAACATAATGATATAACTACTCGCGATTCTATTTGCTAGCGCACACATTGTACGTGATAGGCTAAGATGCGGGACATCTCTAAGTGGTTGACCAATCACAACAGAGCCGGCCTGTGAACCGATCATAGCAGACTGGGCTCTGGTTTCAGACAGAGGGCAAAAAGAATTGCTGCAGCACAGGCAGTATGAGAAAAATAAGCAGTTTTTGAACATTAAAGCATGTAAACATGTCATCATATAAATATTTCAGTCAGACAACTCACGTGTTTCTTAATATATAATATATTCAATATAATTCTTAATAGAAGCAGCATATAGTTCGAGTTTGGCATCTAGGCTCGGGCCTCATCACTCCACAGATTTACAAAGAACATTGAGTGATGATTAGATAACTATCCCCCGAGCCTACAGGTGGATGCTGGGATGGAAGCTGGGATGGTGGTGGGGCAGGCAAGTAGCAGCAACATGAAACACAGCAGCAGTAGCGATGTAAACGCAGCAGCAGGGCACAAACGCAGCAGTGGCAGCAGCAGCGAGGCAGAGGCAGGAAGACCTGGCAGCTTAAATAGAGCGGCATGTTTAGGAGAATGTGTTTGGTTGGTTGTAAGAGGGGCGAGGTGCCTCACGTGTTAATGTATCATTGGTGCTCGAGTTGACTGCTTGAACTAGCTCACTCCCCATTAACCGGAAAATGTGAAAATTAGCCCCTTTAAAGGTGGGGTAGGTAAGTTTGAGAAACCGTCTCGAGATACACTTTTTGTTATATTCCATGAAATGCTCTTAACATCCCGATAGCAATGAATATCTTAAGTGCTTTGACAAAAAATCCATAAAATGCCATCATATCTGGAAGCCGTAGTACTGTAAAAAGCACGACCAATCATTTTAGCCGGCCCGGCTAAAATAACTGGATGGCCTACCTGCCTGTCAGCCTTCCATCTGTGCACAAACTTATCTCGTGCCGTAATTGGTCATGTGCGCGTTCGTGTGTGTTGGAAGAGGGGCTCTGTAAGGAAGTCTGAAGGAAGTAGCAGATTTCTTCCGGCTGTGTATTTTCAAATTCTAGCGCACTCGAGCTGGTTTGACCAAAATTATCTACCCCACCTTTAAATAGAAAAAAATCAAATTGTTATTGTCGGACTTGGTATACCTTATGGATGATATTGTTTGTGTAACAAGTTTCTACAACAAAGTTTGCAGAGTGCATATAAATACAAACAAACACAGGAGAAGGTTACACAAAGAAAGCAGAGGACAGTGGCAAAACCAAAGCCGGTGGAGTTTTGACAGCCCTTATCAGTGGTTGTGAAGTTGTGATAGTATGGCCTTTTTACAGATAAGTCTGAATGCTGTCATCAGCATTTAAAGCGCTATGCACTAAATCAATATTATTGAAGAGAATGCATGAAATATGTCAAGGGAAAACATGAAATTGTACGGCATGAAGCATTAATAATGCTCCTGCGTACACTTTCTTGGCTTTAGGACAAATGTACAGTTTGATTTTACTTTGTCAAGTATTTCTTCAAAAGCTCAGCTGTTTTTGAAAACAAAGTCCACTAACTCCTGTCTTTATCTAACGTTGGTTAACCCTGCTATTGAGCAATAATATATTTATGATATTGTTATAATATATTGTAACAATGCAAATCATATAAGATATTGGGTGTAGTAGTGTAAGATTTATGTTGTGATATATGAATGCAAATAATTAAGCTTCATTAAGATTGTTGGTTAAGCAGACCACACAAAATGAATATCTGTCATGAAGTGAAGTGATGTCAAGTAGATAATTACGGACCCCGAGACAAAAACATCGCACACCTTAACCCGATTTTTCAAGCTTTTTGTCTTCGGAATCATAATTTTGAGAATCTTTGTTTACGAGTAATTCTTCCACATTGTCCCCGGTGAGAGAAATAACAGTGGGCGGTGAATGAAGTCGAGCTAATCCCCTCTTCTCTGGTGGGACCCCCTGTAGCCATGTGAAGGGCCCCTAAAAGTAGCCCAGGGGCCAGCAGTGTGGGCCCTTGTCCTGCCGCAGCAGCAGCACCACTTGCAGTCAAGCTGCGGGACTCCAGGCTCTCACTTCCCCAGCTGCTGACGTCAGCTGGCAGCCTGGGCTGTGCTCGCCGCTCCGGACATAGCGCCGAGAAAAATGCTGCTCTCCGTACCGCCAAGGGCAGGAATCAACCCATACAACGGCTATAACAGCAGAAACAGCAAAAAGGTAAACGCTTTTGTTCTTTTTCCTTATTTTCGGCTTGTTCGCCCTGCTAGGTAACAAGCCCGTGTCTGTAGCGACAGAAAAGGGCTTGTGACAGTGAGCTGCAGTGTCCTTGAAAAGCGAAACGTACTGAATTTAACTTCAGACTTGGTGGAGTGAGAAAACAGCTTGTGGAGCAGCCGAGGTCTGTGAAGGTGGGAGAATAAGCCACGGCTGGGTCCTGTCATGTTGGACGCCTGGTGTTTTATTTCGTAGTATTTGTGCGTGTGTAGTACAGTGAGGATGTCGATACGACTCTGCTCACTCATTTGAAAAAAGTCAATGGTGGAGAGCAACTTTTATGGGTAACTGTACCGTGTCGGGATAGCGCGTCTGTGCCTGGATGTGTTTGTGGAAGTGGGGGTAGGGTGAGAGGCAGGCTGAGGGAAACATGGTACCAAATGAAGTATGCCTCTTTCTACGGACACTCATATCTAGTATTAAATCAGGTCTTCATTGTTTCGCTGCCTCATAAGTTTGCATAGTTTTTTTTTTTTTCTTGTTTCCCATCTGAAAACGGAATATGGCCCCACCCCTTGAAAAATCCCACCAGACGATGATGAACATTCCCAGAATTATGAATCGCGCTCTCGTCGTTGTTGACATTGTCACTTTTGTAACCAATATGTAAGGGAGTCATTCTCTAAGCAAGATGTAAAGCACAATAATACAATAGTAATTACAATTAAAATATCTTCCCTAAAAGTGGAATACATATTTCTGATTGCTGATGGCAGATCATGTTTATGTTACTCCTAAAGCCCCTTGCATGTATGGTTGCATGTTTTATGTGTCTTCTCCCTGTGTACTATACATTGGCTTTGAAGTGATTGTTAAAGCTTTTTCATTATATGGGACATGATGTTGTGATTTCACAGTAGCATTTCTAGTTCTTCTGTTCTGGCCCCTCTTTACAGATTTTGTGACTGAGTGATCCTGAACCCAAAATGGTATTTGGAAAATGTATTTTTAAGATTTGTCTCTCTGTGATCTTGGGCACCGCCTGGCTGCTTATCCCTCCCACATCGGATGTCAACACTAGTGTCTGCTGAGGAAGCATTGCAGAATTGTTTGTTTTAGACACACTCACAGACAGAATTTATAATTTATTTTTATAACTCACAATTTTTTACTGAACACACATTTATATGCAGTACTTCATCGTTACAAGGTTGGACCCCATTTCAATGCTATGGGGAGACTATTTGATAAACATATCCCTCCATAAGCTATTGTAGCAAGTCATTTAAGAACACTAGGGACCAATCAAAATAAAAAAGTCACTTTTTTAATGTGAGCAATCTTTTTTGTGGTTTTATAAGCGTTAGTGTCATTTTAAATCCTTGAAATTAATCCCTGTTGTTTCTGACTAGTTGTATGTATCATAGATGTATAATATTCTATACATTAATTGGCAATTGTTAAGGTAACCATTCACTTTACTCTCGGTTTTACGTATAAGAAGATTCATTTGAATTGAAAATAACATTAAGTCAAATCCCTAATTAGCCTGGGTTCACTTATTGTGTTATGTAACTGAAAGATAAGTGAGAATGACACAAATTTGCAAATTAGCTCCGCTCAAAAATTGGAAAAGGTTGGAAAATGTTAACCTGGCTCTGTATAATACAGCATTGGGGAAGTTGTTTGTATTTTATTGATCAAGTTATCATCATAGAAACATTTTAACAACACTTTATCTGTGTGTTGCCTATCATAGGGCTACACCATACATAATTGAAATGTATTACATTCATATGATCTTTATATTTACACCCTTTTCCTTACTATACATATTTTACTTTCACTCCATACAAATGAAGCATGACAACAAATAAACATTTATTAAATAAAGAATCTAAGAAGAAGTACAGTTTTCTTCTCCAGTTGTTTTAGTGGGCCTTAGTTCAGAGAGAGGTCAAGTCTCTGTGTTGTTATTCCTAACATTCCCTCCCCTATCTCTTGCTCACATTCTGCCATACCTGAGCTGTATGAATACACAAAATAAAAGCCTGATCACAAAATAAACACGGTGAGAAAAGCTCTCTCCGTACTGAGCCTGGCGATTAAGAGGCGTTTGGTTTCTGTTGTGCTTTAAGCCAGCCTCTCCTCCCCTGACTCAGCGCCTCATTTCCTCCCTCAAATAAATAGAATTAATGTGTCCCAAATCAAATTTGGTCTGTTTCCGTGTAAAGCTTCCTGGATGGAAAAATAACAGGAGGCGGCTTGTCGCTTTTTAAGGTATCCTGCGTCTCTCAGGGGCCCATCGAATAGCTTGTTTTTTTACTTGTCAATCAGATTTTTGTTCTCATGTTGGCGGGAGTCTTTTTCAATCTCAACACACTGCTGTGATTTTAACAGTTGTATGAGTTTAACACACACTCATACAACTGGAGCATTACATTGTCACAGGGACTCAAGTGTTTCGTTAAAAAGACCATTCAGACATGGCCGAATAGCAGAAGTAAAATCAGTGATTTCACCCTTTCACTTTCAAATTCCACAAGCTTTCATGCGTCAGCAGTGTTTCTTAATTTTACCAATGCTGAGTATTCTTAACCTTTGTAACATTACTCTTTGACAACTTTGACTGCTCTATGTGTCAGCAGAATAATGTATTGAATTTAAATCGAGGCTTTTTCACCAAAAGATGCTTGTTTCAAAGCTCACACGTTTAAATTAATACACACATAGAACATTTAGGATAGATTGATTGAAACCTCCTTATATATAACCATATGGTAATTAGTAGGGGAAAATTACTTTTATAAATGCCTTGATCAGAGTTAACATAGTTAGTAGAGGAGGTTTGAGGTTTGTCACAGAGAATATGGTTCGTTAGCCAGCTAAAACCAAATCACCGAAGACATTGCAAAGAAATACTAGATGTCCTGGAAAAAAGTCCTTTGAAATTGAATAACCCTCAAAGGTAAGTTCAGGATAAAAAGGCACAGTGATTAAGGTTAGCTGAGGTTATCCCGGATCATTGCTGCTGATAATATCTTTATTCAAACAACCGTAATAGTTTCTGTTTTAAAACTTGATCAGGTCTACTTGTCTGCTTGGTGAATCAAACCATGACAACATTGACGGATAACTGTTTTAATCAATCACATGATTTATTTATAGCACGCAACACTTAAACTCTGCTCTTAGCAGTCGAGAGTAAATAACTAAACCAGCAACCTGCAAATAAATAATAAATAAAGACTTAAAATGGAAGGCTTTTGAATAATATTTCATTGTTTTATACAGCTATGTAGAAGTGAGTGCCAGTGTTTTCTTTTTCATATTTTCCCCCTTTTTTAAATTGATTTGTATTCCTGTATTATTTATCGTATGTCTAAACAATGAGACTAATTTGGCCTCTTGACAGCAACCTTTTCCATTAAAGGATTCACCAAGTTCACATCCTTTCAGCGATGACCCTTTGTGCTTGCACCTGTACTTCTCTACTAGCTTTTATTGCAGGATAGTGCCTATTGGAGAATTGTGCTCAGCAAATGTCTAATCTCAAAAGACATCAATCATGCCAAATGTCAGATGTCAAGTTTTTTGAATTGCACCAAAACAGGGATTTGTCTTGTTTTACCCCTCAGGCACATTGTAACTTTGACCAGAGACAGAAGAACAAACTAAAACACTGTGACTGATAACTGTACCCAGAGTATGTCAAACATTGTTCAAGCCTCATCAGCATGTAGATTTCCCCATCAGCCTGACATGAACTGAAACCAACCGATGTCTGGGAGGTTGTAAATCAATCTAGAAGCATGGGTTTTACCTTTTGTAATTGTCACTGGATATGGGAATTATACATTGATGGCATTCAATGTGCAAAAAACAGCATTCATTATAATACATTTAGCATTTGAACTCACTGACATTTGGTAGTTAAATAAATACTATCCACCCCTGTATTCACTCTCTCGGTTATAAATATTATACTAGGGAGTACGAGGGAGTAATGTCTAAAAAATCCAGTATTTGTCAGGCTGAAATAACAAGATTATTTCAGTTACATTTCCTCACATGCCAGTTGTTTAAAAGGCACTGAAGACTGTTTTCACCGAACAACACAAATACATCACATACATTTATAATTTCTGTCTACATGGTTTCATTTTTTTTAAATAAACCAGCTGTTCTGCTGCAGTGACTCTGTCCTCACTGAACTCTTCCGTACAGTCACCTTTGTCCTCATGGCCGTCGGCCAGTTATATGTTTATCTATCTCTTTGTTTAATGTGTCAGATGTTCTGGATCGGTCACCAGCTTCACTGCCAACAGCAAGCCCCACCAAGGTGAACAGGTAGGGAGACAGAGTCCTTGGAGAAAGCACAGCTGTCAGAAATCTGATGCCAGAGTGCCTCACATTTTGTTAGATCTCTAGCTGAGCCGAGGGCCAGTGTTTGTCGGTGTCTGTTTCCGAGCTCTCCGGCTTTCTTCACCTGACCTGGCTTAAAAGCCCTGCATGCACTGTGCATGTGCATCAAGGTGTGAGGAGCAACAACATTAAGAGACAGACTATTTGAAATTGAATAGGTGTAAAAAAAAAAGAAAGACAAAAGTTAGGGGAATGTTGGAGACAGACAGGAAGGAGGATTCAGGAACGAGTCCGGACGTGAGTTTAGTGTCGCTGTCACCTGGTTGGAATGCAGAGCTCATTCAAATGTCCGTGTGTGATAGCATCAGGAGCAGATACAGAGGATTTCCTGTCAGCCACCATATAGCAGCTTACTACTTTACTAGTCACAGTCATCACCTGACCTTCTAATATAAAGAGACTATTTTCCATTTTCTATTTGATATCTAGTAGTAGGCAAAAAGGACAGGATTCTGTTTAGAATCAAATATTTTAACAAATGTTTGTCGATGCTTTAAAGGCGAACCTTTTTAGTATTACATTATTTTTCCCATGACTCATTTTCCTTGTCAGTAGTGAAGTGGAGCTGGTATAGAGCAGCAGCTCAGCAGCGTAACTCTATACAAGCCAGAAGCTGCGCCCGCATGCAGACAGGCTATAAATCTGTGCATTAGCATGGAAGTCGGTCAGCTGGTCAGACAGCCATGGCTCTTTCCTGCCTCAAGAGAAGACAGGCAGCCAGGACATGGGAGGGCGGGCAGACCCCCCAACAGCCAGGAAATCCATGGAATTCTGTGGGTCAAACTGGGGTCGACTGGAGAAGCCCCCACAGGGAGAGACGGCGATAAAAACAGAGGTGGAGTGAGACTAAAAAGAGGCCTGGAAATCGAAACAGAGAAACGAAATGAAAATGTGATTTTTTTGATCTATTAAGAGATTAAAGTAAGCCAGCACCAACAACAAAAAGTATTTGAGAAAGACACTTCCTGACAGCTTCCTGATTTAAGTTTACATCAAGGTAGAGGAAATGTTATTATTTATAGAAGTGTTCTTGGTTTTTATCTTAAGTTTTATTCTAAAAATATCCAGCGCATTTTTTTTTAGCCTTTTGTTGTGAATTTGGATGTACACCATCGAGGAGAAATTGTCACATCAGCAGTAATACTTTGATGTAATGCATGGAATATTTATAAGGATAAGAAAGCCATCAATCAACTGCCCAATTAAATATAGCATTATTGGAATTAATCAGATTTTCTTGCTTTGAGTGTAATGAAGTTTTATTAAGGATCTACTCATCTGTTAAATTGGAGCAAACGTTTGAATTAGTGCTTGAGCAATTTAATGTTTTATTGAATAATCTGCAAATTAGTTTCTCAAAACCCGAAGCTATTTAATTGAATTTAAACAGTAATGACCAGAAAATCTCCATATTTGAGGCATTATCTGATATTTTTGCATGGAAATATTACTTTAACTATTAAACAATTATCAAAGTAGTTTGGGATGCAAAAAATCTTCAATCAATCAATTATTGTTGCATCTTAACTCAGCAACTACTGATTAACTATTCTTTATTTTTTAGAAGTGTTTCTGCATAGGTTTTGTACAGAAAAGCCTGAAATCTAATCAGCAACCAGTTGGGTACAAAAGGACGTTAAACTGTTGTACTTTAAATTTGATTGGTTCAGTTTGAGGTGTTTATGGTTATGCTTGCTGAGCATTTTAAAGACCATAAATGAAACATTTGACTCAAGCTGTTAAATATCTTTACAATCAAGCACGTTAAAGGGGTATCATTGTGTACCCACAGGTGTGAGTGCTAGCGCCTCGCATGAATGCATGTGTGTGGTTGCAGCCTGGTGATTTAAGGGGTTTTGTTGCAATGGCGTGCTCCTGGTACAGTCTGGAGCTTGATTGGTTCTTGGCACTCTGGTAAAGAGTGTGTGAAGGAGATTACAGGTCTCCGCTGTCCTGCTCTTTCATTCACAAATTAGCTGCCTCCGAAAACGTATTCATCACAAACTACACTGTGACAAAATAGATCAACTCTTCCGGGCAGGTTGGGCAGTGTTTCACATTGGCCCTCAGAATATTCTGGTCTGAAAGGAAATGAAACATATTTTTATTGTAATTAAATGAATGGTGCTTTATTTATTATTCAAATGTACAGGGTTGGACAATTGACAAAACAAAAGAAACATTTGTACAACATAATGCGACTCTACTCGCTGTCAAGAAGACTTTCAGTTGAGGCTTGAGTTGAGTTTTTTATTTGAATCTTTGAATTAAGAGTAATATTTTCATATGGATCTTTCTCATTTTAAGAACGAGAACACAAAGATTGGGATGTAATAGTAGCCTCATATTTGAGATGCATACCCTAACTACTACATCCCTGGTTTGATTTCAGCAAATAACACAAAAATACCAAATCTAATCAAACCTATTTATTAGTGATCTTACAATATCAAAGTTCACTACACAAATAGTCTAGGAATGACTGAATTATTTACACAATATATACATTAATAATCAGAATTATGAGGTTGAACTTTAAAAATATATTTAGGTGGACAATGAAGAAAATCATTCTGGTTTCTAAGATGGCAAAAATAAACTTTAAATAAACTGAGTGTAACTGAAAGTGCCTTGAGTTTGATCTGTCTGTGCGTGTTTACTGGTTAACATGTGTACATATCCCTAGAATGAAAGAGAAGAAAGGAAAGAACACACACCTTTTTTCTTTGTTTCCCTTTGAGGAGGTTGTGTCCTCACCTTACCTGACACAAGAAAAAACATATGCAAACTGTATGGGTTCCTTAAGCCGTAGAGGATAGAGGATTATCTTTGGAGAAATTAGCCTTTTGTTGAATCTGCTGCTGTGCTGCTGGCAGAACAGAGGTCAGAGGGGCTGCCTGTGTGGGGGGGGCTCCATGCCTTATGGATGGCGTCTAATTAGCGGGATTGGCTGACGTTGCTGGTGGTCCTGGTATGACCGGGACTTCCTGCTGGGCTTTTCCTAAACACCACAAGTCTGATCAGTGACCCTCTCCTCTACTCTGAAATCAACCCATTGTCCTGCTGGCGCCTCGTCCAGTCGCTCTCTAAAAAATAGTCGCTCCACCCTGAGGGGGCTGAGCTCAGTCAGAAAGCATATATGTGCTTATACCTTCACACTGAATACTAACATTTGGCCGTTGAGATTAATCTGATTATCCTGCAGGAAAAAAATACATTTGCAAGTTCTGGCGAGCCTGGTCTGAACTCAAGTGTATTTATGGCCTCTGTTTTATTTTGGGAAACTGCCAGTAGATCTATTCCTGGAAAGAGAGGTCTTTTCTTTCAAAGTGATAATGAAACCGCATTTATCCAAATAAAAAAAATACTCCTCTGCATGGTTGCACAATCTTTTGTTTGATTTCTCCAAGGAGAAACACATCCCCGAGTGAGAGGTGGTTGTTGCGCAACAGCCTTTCATGTTCCTAGTGTTGACTCATCTTCTAGTTAACCGCCATAGTCACTGGCAAGTCCTCACAGACTCACTGATGAAACGAAACAAACCAACATCAGAAATTAAAAGGAGGTGTAGTATTGGATGAAGTAGATTACGGATCAGTCAGATGGTCACAGTTCCTGGTGTGCTGCCTTGTAATGTGGACTGAACTGAACCCTGATTTTGCACCTTGCTGCTCAGGGTCTTGTTTGGAGGGAATGGTCAGGACACTTTTAAACCTTGTGCGCGTCAAGTTTTGGGCGATTGAATGCAAACTTGAACAGATGGCAACAATTTATTTAGAAATGCCTGCGTCCATAAGTAGAAGCAAAAAAAGACGAGGAGCTGAAGTAAAAACACAGTTCCTATCGGGTCGATTATTTGATTCCACGTCATCAGACTGACTAAATGTTAGCTTTAGATCTTAAGAGCTTTGGTTTTGATATGCACCGCAATATATTTTTGTGGTTCCAAAAGTAAAGAAGAAGTTACTCAACATGGAGAAAGCGTAAGAGGCCCCTTTTCCCTATATGGAGTAGGCAGCGAAGAGGCCCCACATTCCCCTCAGAAAGCACTATTGGTGAGTGTTGACATGAGGGCTGTATGATATCATTTTTCGCAGCTCCCACAAAATGATCACTCTCATGCAGGATCACCCTCTATCTCTCATCATCTCTAAACACTTCTTGGAGTTTTTCACACATGAAATAATAACAAACATCGCTTTGCTGGTTCAACGTTTGCTGGTGTTTTAAGAATATGAAGTATGTCCTCGTCTGTGTGTTGATGCACAGTCCACTAAATCTGTTTCTTTCTTGTTGCAGCAGACCTATGTGTCTTCCGGCCACCAAATGGCGCCCCCCAGTCCCAACAGTAGCAGCCACAGCATCGGGGGGGAACAGCTGAGTAAAACTAACCTGTATATCCGCGGCCTCCATCCTGGGACCACAGACCAAGACCTGGTCAAGCTCTGCCAACCGTGAGTGATATTCACACTAGGGCTGCTCGATTATGGCAAAAATCATAATCTCGATTATTTGGGTCAATAATTGTAATTGCGATTATTAAATGCAATCATTCATTGACTTTGAAAACATCCATTTATTGTACTTTAAAACAAATACAGATAATAATTTGAACTTTTTAACTGTTTAATTATACGTTCAGGGTAATCAACTGAAAAACCAATACAAAATAAAATAAAAATAAATTATACATTCATATCTACATTTAAATAAATAATATCAAAATAATAAATACCAATAAACAAGATCAACAAACATGTTGCAATGCACTGTCACAACCTGAAAACTCCTTAACATATATTCAACATTTTGGTAAAACATATTCAACATATTCCACTCACTCCACTGGGTCAATAATTGATATCACGATTATAAAAAACGATTATCCATTTACTTTGAAAACATCAATTTATTGGAGAAAAAACATTTAAACAGTATGTTTTTAACAGTTGATTAGCCTGAACTTTAAGTATAATTCCAAAAAAAAANAAAAGTAATAATAAAAAAATAATCGTTTTATTTAGATTACGTTGTTTTCGTAATCGTTGCAAGCCATAATCATAATCGCGATTAAAATACGATTAATTGAGCAGCCCTAATTCACACTGCTTTTTTTTCAGTTGGACTGAGAATATTGAAATTGAAAAAGATCCAATATCACACAGACATGTTTAATGCGGAAACTCAAGAATTCCATATCGGAAGACACATTAATGAAAGAATAATCTGACATTACAAAATAATACGCCTATTGATTTTTGCACAGAGTAACGTTGCACATCTTTTCATCACACAACATTATGTCAATTTATTTCTCAAATTGTCAACCTATTTCTATGGTGCAATATCTCATCAAAATAAGTGCTCTATCTTTTAATTGTTTATTTATTACAAACTTCAAATGATCATGTACCAAAATCTTAATAATATGTACGTTGCGCAGGTATAGGCTAACGTTATAATATTACAAGATTAATACTATTTAAAGATTTCTTAATTAGAATTAAGAAAGGTATATCGTTGCATGAAATACCTTAGTTATATTTGAGCTTTTGATGAGTGATGTAAGGATGTAGCATGTAGCAATTGTTTGTGATACAGTGTACCATCTATTACCATGTAGAGCCATTTGTCTTGAATGTCACAGATGGGTTGTTTAATGTTGACAGATCGTAAAGGCAAAGGTATTGGCCTCAAGTTGTTATCCCTTAATATTGAATGAAACTATAGTCTCACTATAGCTGGTAGTACATTCCAGCCCACCATATCTGGAACAAGTTTTCTTTAGATAGTTATGATGTAACATGAGAGAAAGAGTTAAAAAAAAACCTCATTAGCAGATAGAATCTGTGCTTTCTGTAGCTATGCTTTTCATCTGTCGGACGCATGAAATTCAAACGTTTTAAGGCCATCATTTAATGTTCATAAAAAGGAACTGTTAAGGTAGGAAGGAAGGAAAAGTTGTTTCGGGAATAAGGATACTGAATTACCACAACTCAAGTCACTTTGATTAAACCTTGACAATCATAGGAAACACAAGAAAATTGAGGAAGAATACAGAGGGTTGAGAAAAGCAGAGGATGGGGGTTAAGAACCAGAGAAGGGGCCACAGAGAGGTTCGGCATGTTGCCTCCTCATGTCCTGATCTAACCTTTCACTCTGTGTGAGGATAAATTGCCTCCACTGCAGTGAACCAAGACTTACAGACCCTTAAAATAAAAAAGTCTAGCCTCTATAGGATGCAGGCCCCACACACACCAACACACACACTGATCAAACCCAGTAATAAAGCAAACTAACTGCGGGTCATGGCTACGCTGTATGGCACACAAGTGATTTGTGAACCTTAGCCATGCATCCGTCATCTCCCCGGGTCGTTCACAGTAACAACACACCTGAACAAGCTCTGGCCTTAGCTAATAGAACCTTACCTGACATTACTACAACATAGTAATATGTTTGTGTCACGCCCCAGTGTAACCACTCTGACCCTACATAAGGTATCTTGGAAACATCAAATCCACAGTGCACATTTACACAGCTCATGTGTTTATAATCTTGTTAATATTTGAGTACACGCACATTGTCAAAGCTTGAACAATCAAAGAAAATGTGAAATCTGCGGTCTGTAGGTGAAACAGGCACCGGAGAGTAAAGGCAGGGGACTGACAGAGAAGTCATTGTGGGGCTGTTAGAGAAGTTGACAGAGGACAGAGGCTTTAGGTGTGGGTGGGAGGGCTTCCTCTGAAGGGGGAAACTTAAATGAGGGAGAAAAGAGTAGCATGGCCTGCTGGGAAAGAATGTCAGACAGCCCTATATGGGTCAGAGCTGTCTTTTAAGTCCCTGTGGCCTCCGCAGTGTACTGGGCTGCTGTTCTGCTGCACAGGGCCGAGGTAAGGGTCACACTGTCACTGCTTTCAGACCTTTGAACTCTGCTGGGGTCTCCGTTGGGGAAAACATGAAACGTTTGATGTAACGTTTCTAATGAAATCTCAAACCGATCAATAAGACTTCGGTGTTTTTCAATCTCAGTATGAGCTTCAACCTGAGCCAGCATTTATGAACTTATGTTTGATAGTTATTATTTATTTCACCTGAACTTTGGTTTTTAACAATAAATGTTTTATCAAACCATTTATTTGTATATGTTTACATTTAATTTTTTTTTTAAAAGGCCAAAGATTTTATAATGATGTATTCCACAAAATATTAAGATTTGCCCTGCATATTTATGTTTATATCATTAACAAGAAACCCATATTTTCTCTGTGTTCTTGTTATTTGTTTTTTATATTCACACATTTTCATGATTTCAAATCTGTCTCTTAGGGATCTGTGTGTGTGTATCTTTCAAAATAGTGTGTTCTCAATCTTAATACAAGTGAAAGGAGATTTCCCTAAAGAAAATATGATAATGAACCCTGTTAAGTTATGATGTTAGTGTCCCTGAACAGATACCTTATAATAATGAAGAGGACTTTTTTGACATGTCAGTTTAAGCTTAATCTTTGGCCTTTTTTCTGACAGTTTTTGAAAAATGGTATACAGTACATTGCATGCCTGTTTCGACATTTGTGTTTGAAAAACTCAAAGATATGAAACATTTAAAGGTTGAATTTAATTTTAACTTGAATGTGTTAGATGATATGAAGCTTCAGTGTATATACACATAATGACCACTCTGCTATGCACATAACCTATGTGAAGGTCATCTGGCTATGTGGCAGTGGATGATGAATTATTAATTTCTGCAGTGAGGAAGAGTCCTTTATAATGTCTCTATGCTGAAGGTAATGTAATGAATACACACACCCAAATGCTGTTTTCAGGCCCTCAAATATTAAGTTTCCTGCTTTTTCTCTCTTAATCGAAGTGAATATCTTTGAGTTTTGGACTGACAAAACAAGACTTTCACAGACGTAATCTTGGTTGAGACAAAATAGACATGTATCACCGTTATCTGACATTTCATAGACCAAACTAGTGATTGAGTAATCGAGAAAATAGTCTGCAGATGTATTAATAATAAAAAACAAGTTGAAGCCTTGATTTTGTTTAGCTAGGTCCCTGCAGTGACAGTGTATTCAGGTCTGATTCTTTTGGGCTAATGTCCAATGAAGGAGTCAGGAGTGTAGGACCCAGCGGTGCTGCGATGTGGGGGTGGAAAAACAGAGCGAGGGAGAGGGATGTGGTGGAAGGAAGGCGAACCGGAGGGGTGAAGCATCAGGTTACAGTGTACATTCCACTCAGACGCCATGTCGCCCAAACAGAGCAACTCACTGGCTAAATTCACCAGACAGGGGCAGGTCTATTATACTGTAATGCTGATGCACAGTCTTAAAACACTGCGTTTCTTTATCCTCCACATCTCCCACAACAACACTTATCATTTTCTGTTTTAAGGGGATTTGAATAGCATGAATGTTTGATGATACTGCATCAATGCATTCATTGCTTCTCCTCTTGCTCTCTCCTACAGAATAGGCTGAGCAATGTGTTTTCTATAGATAACTTAAATGACATGTTAGAACTTGTGTTTCTTACACAATTTGATTTATGTTGTGTGTATTGGAATGGATCAAGCTTCCAGCAGGTTTCCTCAAAGGCAATATTTCTATTTGCGAGTTAGGCATTGCTAGTGACAACACTTTGAAGCTTAATTTGAGCCAAAAATACTCGAGAGCAGAGCTGTATTTAGTAGAGAGGTGCGTGTTAGTGTGTTAATGTGTGTGGAGGTGTGAGTGGTAAAAACAGGCTTGGAACAAGTTGTTTTTGGCCCTAGGGTGCTGTCTCCTGTCTGTTGAGAACAACTCCAGGGAACAGAGTAACTGTAAAGCCGTCAACAGCAGACAAAGACAAAAAGGGTGGAGGTGAACAAAGTTTTCTGTGCCACTTAGAATTGACTTAAGAAGACACACTTGATGGCATGAAAGAGTATGAGTTCATGTTTACACCTGTAGTCAGGCAGCCTGAGGAAGTGGTGCAGCAGTGATATGCAGACGTAGAAGCAGATCCCTTTTGTTGCCCTGTAGTCACCTCATGATACATTGACCCTGTTTTCTTGTACTGGCAGGTATGGCAAGATTGTGTCGACCAAGGCAATCTTGGATAAAACCACCAACAAATGTAAAGGTTAGTAAATCTGTTTTTTTAATGGAATCTTCTTTTTTTTAATGGAACATTTTGCCAGGCTAGCTTTTTTTCCCCCTCCTAAGCTAACATGTTTCAGTTTCATTTTATATGAACAGATATGAGAGTGGAATTGATATACTCTCAGCAAGAAAACACATAACTCTAAAATAAATAACATTACAGTATCCCTAATATGTAATTGTCCTTTTTACAGGATATGGCTTTGTGGACTTTGACAGTCCAGCAGCCGCACAGAAAGCTGTCACCGCTCTGAAGTCCAGTGGGGTCCAGGCTCAGATGGCCAAAGTAAGAATTGTCAAGCTCTCGACCATCTTCCTTACACAGGCACCACTTCTTTCACCCTCAAATCCTCAAATCACCGTTGGGTTAAACTTGTCCTTTAACATTATGATCCAATCTTGCCTTTACTTAAAATATAGTAAGCCCTAAAGAGCCACCTGCTTAACTTTGACCACCAAGAGTCAAATGTGGTCCTGTTCATTTCTCTATCATGTAAAAGCTTATGTCCTGATTGTCCGCGATTGTCCCGTTGGCAAAGGTGCAAGCTGAACTCTGGTTTATCGGGAGGCGTGTGTTTTGTTACACTTTGTTGGATGAACCTGTGCCAGTAATTGGCAATTACAAGAACCATATCATCGGTTTTACTGTAGACTAGATTTGAAACTTTTTGGAGTGTTTTTGTTAATTCACCACTTTTCGCTTGTCAATTCTTCTGTCTGTGCTTTCATGGCATTCTTTCTCCTCTTTCTTCACCACCTTGCTTCTCCACACACCCTTCTCTCTGTGCTTGTGTATGTTGCTAACCTGCTCCTGTTGTAGCGCTTGTTCTGAGCTCTTTGTCCGAGTGTCTGCAGTCAAAGCTACTCTTGTCGGCCCATTAAGCTGATCCCTTTGGCTCTCAGACTCCCCATTGAGGGAGCCCAGGGGAGGGTGCCACTACACCCACTGTCAATGGGACAGGCACAATGAGCTGGCATTGTCCATGGTCTGGGCCCAGGCCTGGGGCTGACACAAGCACTTAATACACTCCACCCTAGTGTCCCCGCCCCCCTACCCATGTCCTGCACCCAAACAGACCCACTGCAATGTAACACCAGGATCTCCGGAAAACTGTAACAGATCCACGCTGCCAGCTGACCTCAACCAGTCCACTGCAACTAAACCCGGGGTCTAAGTTCTCTGCACCTCCTCTGTAAAAGTGCCACACAATCCTGCGTATCTCAATACCCAGCAAGTGCGACTCGACACCAAGACTCAACTCGCACAGACATGTGCTCAGTCAGAGGTGTTGATAACTACTATAACATCCTAAATATACCCAGCTGCTTTTGGAGTCACTGGGCTATCCCAAGTCAGACAAAAAGAAGCATTAGTCCAGGGGTGCCCAACCTTTTTTGAACCGAGAGCTACATTTAAAGTTGCCAGTCTGCCGAGATCTACCAGTCCAAATAGAGAGGCGTAGCCATTACTGACAGCCTACTACCACTTCTACTTGTATAAAACTGACCTTTGTACGATTAATACTTCATAGAATACTGCAGATCCTTCATCTTACCTCTTTCTAATCCACACACATACAAGTATTTAACGGAAGTTACACAACAGTGTTGTTGATACAGAGTTGAAGTTTATTCCTCCGTCACATACTACAGTGGGTAATGTTTTCAAGAAACATTGAACAGTGCTGCCACATATGACACAGGAAAAAAAGAAAAGACTCTGAACCCTTTCTTTGCCATTATATAAAAATAGTGTTGCTACAAAAGTATAAATTAGGCTTACTAATAAGACAACTCAGATCTGAAGCTACACAGGAATCTGCTGCCAAAGTACAATAAAAAAGACAAAATTAATAGAATCAAACCATTTTTTGTTGCATTTTAGTAGAGTATAAAAAGAAATGCCTTTAAAATAGGATGCAAGCAACACTCGTTTCTTAACCTGAATTGATAATAGACTATAATCAATTTAAACAGAACATATCTTAATGTTTGCATTCTTAAACCAATTTATACAATAATTATAATGAATAAGTTCAAACAAACTAAAACTTACTGCTGATTAATAACGGTATCTAACTTGAGATTTCATTATTTAAAAAACCTGTTGAAATGCTACTGTTATTTTTACTGTCCCCCAAAAGCGCGTCGGCAGCCTCCAGGAATGCTTCTTTCACAACTTCGCCGTCTTTGAAAGACTTCATGTGTTTCGCAAGAACGTGACTGACACGATAAGATGCTATGGTAGCAGCCTTGCTCTTGTTGTTGGGCCTGGTGAAAATGGACTGATGTGCATTTAGCTGTCCTTTCAGGTCCCTCCCCTTTTGGGAGCGTAGGGCAGAATTAGGAGGGAATTCCGTCTCGTAGCGTTTGTGCACTGTTTTGAAATGTCGCTCCTAAATTACCCTTCTTCGATAAAGCCACGCTCGCATTGCAGATGAGACAGATGGACTTTGAATTGGAATAGATACAAAAATAATCATCCTCCCACTCGGAGTGAAAATGATATATTTTGGGCTTTTTTGCTTCTGCCATAATTGTGGTCTTTTGTGTGTGCGGACTGTCACTCCTGTTGACAGACACGGACAACGTCAGCGAAATAGTGCCCAGTCCACTGCCCACCAGCCACGCCCCGACACATGGGCTCACGCCGGCCAATCACAAAGCTTTGTTGCGTTCAAGTGCATTATTCTGGCACAGGAAGATTATGTTATAGGACATTTTCGATAAAACAGAATATTGTTGTTCTATTTTTAGACACATCTCGCGATCGACTGGGAATCTCCCCGTGATCGACCGGTTGATCACGATCGACTGGTTGGGCACCCCTGCATTAGTCTAACATCAGTTCAGTATCAAACCCCTTAAGTGAGGTTTCACCTGTTTGCACCTTCACCATGGTGCTGCAAAGTGTTGTTCACAAACAGAATGAGCCACACCTAGCACTGGCGGTCCTCAGAGTGTGTTCAGTCCCCGATCGAGCCACCCCAGCCGAGGGCCCAGAGGAGCCGTCTGAATCAGGAGAATCATGGCAGGGTTAAAAATAGATCCGTTCTTACTTTCCTGAACCTCCCTGTTCAAACTCAGACGTCAGCTCGCATGCGCTGCTCGACGCACAAGCAGGCAAATTCAGAGACACACCTCAGCAGACCTTGAGCCTGGAGCCACAAAAAATGCACTGTGACGCTTTAGCAAATCTTTTTCACATGTGCCTGGGCCGGGTCCAACAGGAAATGTGCATATCTACGACAGGATGGATATGTGTGTGAATATGAAACTGGGATGTCATTTGTATTAGCCAAGATAAAAAGGTAAATAAAGGATAACAATGAGAGTATTTTTCTTTTTTTTTTCATTAGTTTCATCTGGCCATAGACCTCCTGCTGTGGGCCACTGTGTTACATAATGGCCATATTGCTGCACCCAGAATGACGATCACAAAAACACATGTGATCTCTTGGCCAGGTGGCTCAGGGCTGAGAACAGAGGCTTCTTATAAATGCAGTAAATCTTTATCTGAGATAGGTGTTTGACTTACATCAGACAGTTTCCTTTATGCAGAAGTGAAAAACCTGTTTGCAGAGCCATCTTAAAGAGTGTTAGGAAGAGAGGACAAAATGGAAAATGATAGCGATAAAATACATTTTGATTGAAGAGAAGAGCCTGTGAATCAGGAGGCACTCATTTATCCTATTCTTCTTTTTTTACTAATTTCTGTCATCCTCCTTTTTCATTGCTCAAGACTCCCAACTACTTCCTATCTTGTCAGTTCCCTCCCTCCTTCGGTACAGAAATATCAGCCGTTTAAGTTCCTAATTTCTCCCAACCTCTCTCTTCTCTATCCTGCTCCTTCACTCTCTGTTTCCCTTTCCCCTCTTTTTAGCCCGGCCTCTTTTCTCCCGGTTGCCAGACTCCTGTTGCTCTCTGAAGTCCTTAACTTCATGCCTGGCTTCCTGTCTGCTTCTGCACACTCACACAGGGATTCACTCTCAAGCTACTGACCCAAAATGAGAATCAGATCTCTTTACTTGCAGTTATGCAGATCTCTTAATCAGGCGACATCCCTAAATATGCTACTACAAATGTATATCAGCATGAGTTGGTTTATGTGTGTGGGCATTTGGATTTTTTAAAACCAGAGAGTTAGTTAAGTAATTGTTACCCATTGGTGACAAATTATTCAGGGTGTCAGTCTATTAGTACTAATTGCTTTAAAACATTTGTATTCGTATCAGGTCCCTTAACAAAATGATGCTTGATATTTGTTAATGTGGCAAGAGTGATGACAGGTGTTTCTAGAAAAGACACGTCGCAGTACTGCCTACACAGGGATTTATAAAGTGTGAAAAAGATATTGATATTGACAAGACATTTTTCATTTTTTCAGATTTTCAAAAGCTTAATGTTCGAATAAATGTTAACCCTTTAAAAAGACACCTGAAAGCAGTGAAGTGAACTTGGTATTACAAAAGACACATTTCAGATGTCTGCAGCTTCTCCACCAACATGTGTTGAAGTAAACAAAAGTAATCACATCCCCTCAGGTCCAGAAAAGATCTGTATGCAAACTGATTTTTATGTCCACTTCCTGTGCAGCAACAAGAGCAGGACCCCACCAACCTCTACATCTCCAACCTGCCAGTGTCCATGGATGAGCAGGAGCTGGAGAGCATGCTCAAGTCCTTTGGCCAGGTCATTTCCACACGCATTCTCCGAGATGCTAACGGGACCAGCCGCGGTGTGGGATTTGCCAGGTTCGATATGAAACAATACTTCATTGTGGTTTGTAATGATTCGAACCCAACAAAGTGTCCAATGCGAACAAACAGTGCTCCAAAGGAAGGATTACATTTGACTTTGACTGTATTTCAGAATGGAGTCCACGGAGAAGTGCGAGGCCATAATTCAGCATTTCAACGGCAAATTCATCAAGACCCCCCCAGGAGTGCCTGGTGCGTGGAATGTTATTGTAGTATTACAGGAACCTGATATTGTTGTTGTTGGTGCCAGAGCTCTGTGTTTTTGTTCCTCGTTGTGACCATTGAATCAACTCTTTTTTTCTGATCTGTTTCACAGTGCCCACAGAGCCCTTATTATGTAAGTTTGCCGACGGGGGTCAGAAGAAGAGGCAGAACCAGGGGAAGTACCTCCACAATGGAAGGCCCTGGGCTAGAGATGGAGATACGGTGAGATTTTAAAATCACGATTCTTAAAGGGAACTTTCTGTGTTCATATGTTGTTGTTTCAAGTTGGAAATTAAAGCAAACACATTCCTCTCAATCCTTGCTACAGGACTGTTTTTACTACAGGCTGCATTGGGGTTTGCATGACCTCACTGTTTATGAGTCCTTTGTATTGTTTTCCCAGGGAGGAATGACGCTTGCGTATGACCCCACAGCCTTACAAAATGGGTGAGTGGTGTGCATGGACTGACTGAAAACAGTCCCAACCCTGCAGGAAAATAAGAGTTGTGCTCGAGCCGTGGTGAAGTGCTGCCCTCTGCTGGGCATTGCAGGGACTCAGACATGCTGTTAATGCTGTTAGAAACATTCTGCAGATGGTTGACATGGTGTGCCTGTGTTCATGTTTTCTTTTTGCTCCGTGTGTTCGACAGCTTCTACTCACCCTACAGTCTGGCTCCCAACCGAATGATCGCCCAGACCTCCCTCTCACCCTACATGCATTCGCCTGTCTCATCCTACCAGGTGGGGGATTTCATTGTGTTTATAATTCAAATGCTGACTCAAATGTGCCTAAATGGAGAACACTAAGTAAAGATTTCCAAAAGGTTGTTTTCATGGCATAGGAAAATGCAATCATATTTTGTGAACAAAAGCAATTTTGTTGGTTCTCTAAATGTCAGATATAACATAATTGTTGTCTATGACGCAGTTGCAGACTTTGTACTTGATCGTATTAGGAAAGTGCGTTAGGAAATGGTCCAATGTTGTGACTAGTTTTGGGCTGTTTTAAGCCATCAAAATAACAGGAATTTTGAAACTGGGCGTTGTTCCCCTTTAATGCCAACATCTTATTTTCTGTGGCTTTTCCTGTGCCAAACTCCTCATTATGTCCACATGATGTCAGTTAATGGACACCCAGGGAGCACAACAGCTCACACTACTGATCATGTTTCTTGAGATTATCGTGACCTGTCTCCGTAAAACCGTAACATATTACAAATTAATTTCATGACGTGTTTCCTGATCTATAGGTACACAGCCCGTCCTGGATGCACCATCAGTCATACCTCATGCAGCCAGCTGTGAGTATCCCTCCTTCACTTTATCTCCTCCCCTCATATACACTATTTACGTTAGCTACTTCATGTATTTTGGGGGAAAAAATTGCAAATATAACCAAGAAACATTTGAGAAGTCGGGATGCCTTCTCACCAGTCTGAGATGCATTGTTTGTATATCCCTTGAAATGTTTAAAAGGAATATATGATAATATGGGTTTTAATTTGGGTTAACGTTCCATTCTCACTGGTATCATATTGTCCATGTTTTACTGTATTTTTTCTGTTTTGCTTTTATTTTACATTTTATTTTTTAAATGGTTTTATTTTAACCTATTTTCATTTATTGTCAGCTTTAATTCAAGGGAATTTCATTAGGATAACTTTTTTATCTTGTTCTGTATTTATTTTATTATTGTTGTTATGTTTTCTTCTTGTTCTGTAAAGCACTTTGAGCTGCTTTGTGCATGAAAGGTGCTATACAAATAAAGTTTATTATTATTATTATTATTATTATTATTATTGTAGCCAAGTCTTGACATGTTCATTTGTACCTACAGTATGGCTTAACTGTAGTTCCCGACATAGTTTTTTATTTTTAGTTCACTTGTGATGGATTTAAAACACTCTACATTAGTTCTAGTGCTTTAGACTATAATTCCAGTTGTAAAGTGTGTCTCTATGCATCCACAGGGTACAGTTCTTACCCCAACCATGGAGCACGCCATGTCCATCCAGCCCACGTCCATGATGGGACCTCTCGCTCAGCAGCTAAGCCACATGTCCATGGGCAGCACGGGCACAGTCAGTACCAATCACACACTCACACACACTATGCACATGTGCCCATAGATAACTGTCCTGATAATTACAAGATGAATGACTACTTGTTTTCCTCTCTGCCTTCCCTACAGTATATTCCGGCCAACACATCTATGCAGGGGACCTACATCCCCCAGTACACCCAAGTGCCTCCCTCCAGTGGCCAAGTGGAGGTATGAAGCTAGTCTCAACCTCAGCTGCTTACATTTTGTATTTACATGAAGGGGATGACTATCTATTAAAACTGTGATGGGGACGTATTTCCTAAAACTTGTAGCGTGGCAGGTCATTTGAGTTTGACTTTTAAGGAGTGGCAGAGTTGGTGAGAGATGAATCAAAGAAGAGGTGTCTATTAAAACTGTCAACTGACAGATGTACTCATCTGGAGAGTGGCCATGTGCCCTGAAGGTGTGTGTTGTATTTTACAACAAGTGGTGGCTTGGCTTTAATGATTCCTAAGCATCCTAATAATAAAAGGGAAAACTCTGTTGCATCCGACATAGTTATATTTTGTAAGATGAAACAGAAACACAGGACAAGTTAAAGTAATTCAATGTTGTCGCAAAACTTGATAGGACAGACTTCTTTTAAAATACAGATTATGAATGAACTGGTTGGTTGTTAAGTGTATGAACTGGACTCACTATCCATACAATTGTTTATTTTCAATACATGATCAAACAATTATTTAATGATAAGCAAATGAGTTGAAGAGTAAAAGACTCAATATCTTTTAAATGTTTTGAGTTAGCTTATGTCCTTTCTGTTATAGAAGTCTAAGTAAGTCTTAGTGAACATTTAAATATAAATAAATTGTATTTTAAACTTTTTCTTTCTAAATATTAGTATTATAGCGAATTTCTCACTGCAAACATATTTGAATATTTAATGATATCTTCCCAATGCACTTTGGTCCTGTGAAGTAAAATATTGCTGCTGAACAATGGGACTGTATGACCTCCTCCGGTACTCAACCAGAAGAGCCTTTGCCACACATAAGTGAGAGCAGCAGGCTCCTGACTGAGCGCGCTGCAGGAGGCGGCTCAGCCTGCGGGAGACTTGGATCATTTGTTGGGAGGTGGAGCTCAGAGAATAGTTGGGAAGACAGGTTTATGAATGGGAGAAGGAACTCAGGCTGTGATTGGATGGATGAGATGAAGTGGGAGTGGAGTTACAGGTTTAAAGTAAGATTTACCTCAGCCACTCCTTAAATTGTACCACAAGACAGATATGAAACATGCCTTCTAGTAAATACGTCCTGCAGTTCGCACTTCCAACATATTTGACATATTTTACTTTTGGTTAATTCACTCAAATATATGTTATGTATTTTATTCGGTGGGGAGGGCAGCGGGGAAAATACAGTTTGTCTTTGCGCTTCTTTGATTTAAAAAAAAAATGCATTGAAATGATCAATCAGTTCTCTCTTTGAATAACCTCTCTTTTTTAAAGGAGAATGGGGGTCAACAGCAACAGGTTGCCTTGGAGAATCCTGCAGAACACACAAACTACTCGTACCAACACACCAAGTGAAGCTAAGGTGCGACTGCTTTGCCTCGCAAATAACACAAATGTACCTGTGCAGGTGACCTATTTTAAGAAATGTGTCACCTGCAAAGTCATATTCATGCAAAATAATGTGCAAAATAAGGCACACTTGTTTCAAATCCTTAAAGTGAAGAATTGGTTTCCGCTTATTTGCCACTTTACCAAGATTTCTTTACTTTTGGTCCGAGCCAGGCTGATCGCTCTCAGCCTTTTTCTAGCCTTAATGCTAAGCTAAGCTAACTAGCTGGTGGCTTCATCTTCATGGCTGCTTTATTGTAAAAGACCAAGTAGAATATTGTGTTACTTACACACATTTTGCATACTCATATTTTGACATGGTGCATGTATGTGTATTACTGCACAGTCCAGGCATATTACTTTTTCAAAGAATGATTTGTTGTTATAAAATTCTTACTGTGTGTGTATAGAAGTCAACTTTACAGATGTGTTGTGAGCCGAACAGAGGTTGAGGTACAGGGCATTAATCCTACATTGTGTGTGTTCCCGCTCCCAGCAGGGTGAAAGCACCAGAGGAATCCACCAGGCGGGATTCAGCGGAAAGATAACGGTGCTCCGTACCATCATTAAGCACCCGGACTTGAACATGGATAACAAAAGGAACGTGTGTGTGTGTGTGTGTGTGTGTGTGTGTGTGTGTGTGTGTGTGTGTGTGTGTGTGTGTGTGTGTGTGTGTGTGTGTGTGTGTGTGTGTAATTTTTTTTTTTTTTTAAAGGAAAAGGACAACACTTACATCATTGGACTTTCCTGCTCACATCCTCAAGAGTCGATCAACCAAAGGTGGGAATCTTCATCGCAGAAGCTATGATCTATTTTGATAACTGAAAAAAGGAACATAAAAAGTTTAAGAAAAAAGAGAGGAGGAAAAGACACAGAGCATTATTTTTGTGCACGTAATATAACAAATTCTTATTTTTTAAAAAAGCATTCTGGATGTTTCAGGGTGATTCGAGGAAGAGTTGAATCACTATGTGTCTTTTTTTTGTTGTAAAATATGCAAACTTTTATTTTTATTTCCTGATGTCTGTTTGATGTTCTATTAGAAGCAGCGAGGGCGACACTTTGTACAGATTTAGAAACGTACAAAACACTTTTGCTGGTCTGATGTGTCGAGTTGTAACCGTGGGGATGCGAACCGTTTAAAGCTACTTCTTCCTGTAACTGCTGCAGAGATTTCCATTCACGCACAGACGATAAATACAATGTTTATAGTTTATTACAATTATCATTTTACATCCTTCCATAAGTGAACAAAAGACAATCAATTATTTATATTTATATTTTAATTAAAGTTCTATTTTTCAGAGTTTTTAAATCATTGAAACATACATTTAAAGAAAATAAATTATTTAATACTGTAATCTATAAAGATGTGATGCAACTGAGTTCATCGCATTTATGATGAACTCTAGTATTTGGCCAGTACATTTGTTTTAGTAGTTTTGATGCTTAGATGGTTTTTAATTTAGTCCTGTTTGCACCATCACAATGACAGCTGTTAGTCTCCCTGTTTTAATGTAACCCTGTGTTACATGCGTGTCCATGAGAAGTGGTTTTAAGCGGTTTTGCTTTTGGCAAACCTTCAGGTATCATTAAATTCATCCTCTGTTATGGAGGCAAGTGAACATGTTTTGATCTGAGCAGTTAGATTACTGAAAGATGATGTACAAAGAACAATGCAGTTAATAAATAAAGATAAAGATATGATAAAGCAATGAGGGGAATCAAATAGAGGACTAACACGATCCCTGAGAGTAATTAGTTTGAAAGGAAAGAGAGCTGTAAGTCTTTTTTTTCAATGCTGCTGTTGTCACCTGAGTTTGATTCTCTGTCCGTGATTTTTTTTAGTTTGTAGAAAATGAAATGTTTCTGTTTTTCTTTTGTCTGTCACTTGAAAACTTTTTTGAGCTAATTTGCCTTATTTTTATGAATTTATCTTTGACGTAGTTTAGATTTTAGCTGTAGATTTGTAGCTTTTTACAGAGTAGATTCGTCTCTCTGCGTAGGGATTGATGTTGTTTTCTTGTGCACATTAAGTTTTCGCTTGTTTTCACACAAATTTCCGCTCCTCACCTTGTGTCGTCTGTCCTCATATTGTGTCAGGTCTGTTTATTAAAAAGGCTTCCAGAGTGGAGAGTTATACCAAACCATGACTTCAGTTAGAGCTGATCCAAAAGATTCATACGATGCTGCATCGGTGTTGCAACTCAAGCTTCGTGTATGTTTCAGTCAGTGAGTGAGTGGAGCTCATTTCAACACAGTGCATCCAAATATGTTTAATTTATGCAGACATCTAAAACTGTAGATATGTAGATAATAGAACTAATGGTTTTACAAAGGACTGCTCACTAGACCATGGAAGTGCCATTAATTACAGCCTTTAGTGAGACAGCAAGTCTGAATGAGTGATCCAAAATTCTGCAAAAACAATTTTTAGCTAAGCCTTAATGTTTCCTCTGAACAAATTGCCTAATCTCTCGTAGGATGGACACTAAGTTGTATATACTGCAGACATGGCAACAGGCTTGTTTGAAATGCCGTGTTGTGAGTCGGTTGTCACGGCGGTCGTGTTAACTGAAGGGTTACGAGGAGCTTGTCTTCCTGCTCTTCCACAATCCATAAATGCTGTGTGCAAACGTCTTTCTCCACATCGCAGTTTGATGAATCTGTTTCTAACACTTTACATTTTTTTCAACTTTTTGCTGTGTGTTTGTATTGTTGATTTCCGCAACCAAAGATGTTGTTGCCACCCATCTTGTAGCTCTCTGTCAGAGGCAAACTGCTCCCTTTCGGAGACAAAGAGGTCTGCTTCCGACAGGTTCACACAGAGAAAGATCACATTAACAGTGGTGACGTTCACACAATATTCCACATTATGTCCACAGTTCGAGGTTGTGTGAGAACTTGGTGTGTCTGAACTGTGTGTTTTAAAATAAACATAAATGGTCTGGTTTTGTTGACGTGTAAACTAAGCAGAGTTTCCCTTTAGTATACGCCATGGAGCAAACAGACTCATTACACACTTTATGGGCCTCTGCAGACACCCAGCAGGAAGCCAGGGCTTTTACCATTATGAGAGTTTTCAGACACAAAAGCTAATATTGTAAATAGACTTTTACCCCTTTCACTTCCTCTGCACACATTTTGTTTGTTTTTCCTTGTGTGATTTTTTTAAATGATTTATAACCTGTCCAGATAACACAGTGACTAGCAAGCTTTTTCAGATTCAGTGCTCATGAAGGAACATGTCATGGATATTGTTTATATGTTCAGAGAAATAATACTCCATATATTAGCCATCACTTTACAAAAACAGGATTTTGAAACTATGAAATGACCACCTGTTACAAAGCAGTGTTTATTTTAATATATATATATTTAAACTTCTGCAGTGATAATTCAACAGGAAGTTTCCAAAAATAATTTAGATCATACAAATTATGCAAATGTGAGTTACATTTAAAATGTTGGGATACTTCAACGATACACGATTATAGCTAAATCTCCTTGCACTTAATACTTTAAGTCCACAACAATTTGAAAATGTTGTTTTCGTCCATCCTAATGTAGATTTGATGGCTTATTTCATAGCTTCAAAATGTTTTGCTGCTAAAACAGGGTTTCCAAACAGGTCGTTAGATGTTGCCCAGTCTGGATTTTCAAAATGTCACTTTTTAATTTCAGTAAGCCTTTTTTGTTTCATTTTAAACTTGATGAATCTAAATTAAATTATTTAGTTTTGCAAATAGGCATTTTTAAAATAGCTTTTTTTTTTTACAATATTAAAACATATAATCGTTGTCTTACGGTTAAATGTTTTAAGATAATAATAACAACAATGTGTCGCTCCACACTGTATGAACCAAATTAGTTTGAATCCCAGACATTTTGAAAATCCGACGGGTTTATTTTCCACTTGCTTGTGAACAGTTTTCTTATTTATACAAAAACTCATTTTGTACAGTTTTGTTAAGAGGAAAGAGGTTTTGATATTTGGTTATTTTGCAAAGCCACTTGGCTACTGTTGTCTTCCTGTGCCAGAGTTGCTAAATTGTCTGTAACTTGTGTGTTTTTTTATTGATTGAGATAAGATTTTCATTCTTCTTGGTTTTCTCTTTGAATTTGAATATGTCATTTTTTTCTTTTTTTTAATAAAAGCCTTGTTTCAATGATTGGCTGAACTGTGTTTTTGATTATAGTTCTAATGGTAACTGGAAATGGTAATAGTCACTAGCCTCTGCTGTTGCGTTTGTTCTATCAATCCCTGTGGTGGCCTGTGTCATCACAACACATCTGTATCTGTTTCTGCTGCTCAAAAGGTCAAAGTTGATGACCCACTTGTTGCAGGTTGTGGAGGATTGTAGTCCAAACGTTTAATCTTGACTGGGAAGTTTCTCACATTTAAAATCCTGGAAAAAACCCTGCAAATGGGTTTAAAGGACAAGACAGTCAAAAACAGTGCTAGAAGATGCTAAGTCAATATAATATCCAATACGGGTGTGAGGGTTCTATCAACAAAGTACTTCTAAAAAGACAATGTTTTAAAAATAAATGTTAAAATAATTTAAATGTAGTCATTTGTAAAAAGCAACCATCAATCAAAATGGATACTTTAATGTGTTGTGCTAGATTGATATAAATGTAAAAAATGAAGGAAATAGTATTGACATTTATTTTCTAAAACGAAATCTACAACCTTACTAACCATATCCCAGCATGCAATAGTGGTCACCAGTCCATTACAGGGCTAACACACAGACACACAACTAACGTGGCTTCTTATATGATTGAAAACTCTTAGATAGTAACACATAATAATCCACATTGTAAACTCTCTTACACATATAAGACAAACATCTTTTCATGTGTCACTTTTATTAGAATAATGTCAGAATCACAGACAGACATAACTCAGTGTTCTTACAAAAATAGTTTTAACATGCCATGTGTTTTTATACAGTTAGATAATCCTAATGCTCATGTTCTGATCTTCAAATTGTTTACATTAAATTATGTTCTATCACACCCCAAAGGCCACATTTAAGTCACAATACACATTGCAACTGATCTCTAATAGCTAGAGTTCATTGTTAATGTATGTGTGATGCTACAAACACACTGTTTTTAAATCCAGTAAGATTTGCTCAAACAGTATTTTCCCCAAAAATGAAAATCCATGCTCAACATAAACTGAAAATACGTTACAGTAGTACCTTTCATCTATGGAAATGTGCTTTAAAAGTAAGTATAAAACATATTGTAACTTGTAATCTAAAGGTGCTGTTTTTTAATCTCTGCTTTTCACTTATTGATGGATGAACATCCAAACTGATCTTACTTGACTCTACGGAGCTTTAAAGGTCCCCTATTATACTGTTTTTCAATACTTTATTATAGTTCTCAGATATATACAAAACATATCTCTGAAGTGTTTGGCTCCAAATACCAAACAGCTCATTGCAGCATCCCATAATCCCCTCTGTTTAAGCCCTGTTTCCAAAGTGCTGATTCTCTGTCTATTACTTTAGATGAAAATAGGAGTCACTCCCCACGCCCCTCTGAGAGATAT